TGAGGAGCTCTGGTAGCATAGTGCCTAAGGCACTTGACTGCTAACCAGAAGGCTGGCAGTTCAAACCCACCAGCCACTCCTCAGAGGGAAGATGGGGCCATCTACTGCCTCGGAAACCCAAGGAGGGGTCGCTATGAGTCAGGCTGACTCAATGGCACATAACAACAACATAGTCTACAGATGGAGAGAGAGAGACTTAAAGTTGAGTTAACCAAGGGCAGCTTGAAAAAGGTAAAACCAGGCCTGGGGGCTTTTTCACTTCAGAAAGTTGCCTGCTGGGATTGCAGAAGTAAGAAGTGTTGGATTTAACAAGCCTTTCCTTGGTTAGAAAGAGCATTCAGAAGGACAGACAAGATGACCTCAAAGAGCAAAGTAAATAGAGGGAGTGGCACTGTCAACAAAATAGGCTTAAAGCCCCTCCCCTTCTTGATAGGAAGAAGCCACTGTAAAAGGTGAATGAACTTTGCTCTGGAGCTGCCCTAACATTTCAGAACAGAGGCTGCAAAAGTCAAAGTACTACAGCTACCACAAAGAAGACCTGAGTGTTAAAGGATCAAGTAACCAAGAAGTGTTTGCTGAGCACACACTGAAATGGATAGTGGATATCAGACAATGTGGGATCCTCACCTACAGGTTCAACACTCTGTGTAGAGATCAACTCACAGACAGCTCAGTTACACCAAAGGAGTGTATAAGCACAAAGCCATAAGGTTTTTAGAATATAGAACCTTGGCTCCCGGAGGGGTCTATGACATCATTCACTCAAATGCAGGGAAGTACATACCAGGATGGAACAGAGAAAGCAACAATGCTGATTTCAGAGGAGATCTCTGATACTTTCCATAGCTTGACCACAAAGGCGCCACTTACCTGGGATGAGGATGGTGACCACGGCCTGCACTGCTCGGCGGATGATATTGTCCATAGCAAACATCCAGTGGGGCTTAATTAAGTGGTTCCTCAAAATCTGATTTACCTGAAAATCACAAAACCTCATATTGCTCATCCAATGGCTTTTAAGAAATACAAGTTAGTCCTACCGAATCTAACTTGCTTCTACTGTGTTTGAGATAAAGTGCCAACCATGCCGCCCTGGTTTTCTGATCTACTTGTACTTCCCTTGAGATTGACTTATGCTGGGGTCTGAGATGGGTACAGTGATCAGATCAGCCTCAGTGGGCTCTGTATGTTACTTCAACAAGCATTTACTGAGCACTTAGGAAGTGTCAAGCTCCATGTGGGGTACTTGGGACACAAGTGTGAACAAGACATGGTTTCTGGCCTAGAGGAACTGTCATCTCTTTGGGCAGACACATAAGCTTAAACCCCACACCCACTCAAACAGCAGACACCCCGTGTTCCCAACTCCTGTGTTATACTCGTGTTCTTCATGGCCAAATGCAAATCAGCACATACATTGAGATGTCATCTCATGTACTTGCACACTGTGTTTAGAGGGCATTGCAGAAATGTGGGACCCTTGGGGTTAATAAGTGGGGAGAATTGGGGCAATAGGAGAAGACGGTAATCAGACTCTATGGTCTTAGCTATGAGCCAACTTCAGTGGGCTCCCTGCCTCTGGCAGGTTCTGTAGGGCCAGATGGAACACTTACAGCATCCTGAAATCCAAACAGTACCAGGTAAATCTGATTGATGGATGAACTGTCAAAGTCCAGGTCCACCTTCAGCTTTGAAATTGTGGATGCCATCACCCTGTGCTCCGGGGAGTGTATGAAGTCCCTCAGGATCCCAATTATTTGCTTGATGTGGTCAATTGAGAGGTGCAACTCTTCTGAACTCTGACCCTCCCAAGAAAATAAAAAAAGAAAAATTATTTTGATTAAGTCAGAGAAAGAAGGAAAACTCAAGAAATATTGAGGGAACCAAAGACCAAACCCATTGCCGTGAGTTGATTCCAACTCATAGCAATCCTATAGGACAGAGTAGAACTGCCCCCATAGGGTTTCCAAAGCTAAAAATCTTTACACAAAGCAGACTGCCTCATCTTTCTCCAGTGAGTTCAAACCACTGACCTTTTAGTTAGCAGCCAAGAACTTAACCACTTTGCCCCATTGAGGGAAACTAAACTCATTGCTGTCAAGTCAGTCCTGACTCATAGCGACCCCTCCTCGGGTTTCCAACACAATTGAGGTAAACTAGGTGACAATTATCCACTTAATGGAATTGTGGGATTCCTGGCAAGCGGTCTCCATTCATTCCTGGAATTCCAGGTCTTCCCTAAGGGTCATCTGACCTCTGCTCTTCCCTGGCCTTCACATGTCCACACACAATCTCTCACAACTAAACCCCATGAGGAGGAGGAAGATGGGGCCTCATCAGAAGCTATGGAGCCTGTTTCCATAGCGGGTGAGTGGCCTCTTCATGAAAGGACTTTCCCCAGCCAAAATAAGGAGGGGGAGGATCAGTTTGTGACTACTACTTCCTAGTTCAAATCTTCCTCCACAAGTGGTGGTTCTCCCAGCTTCTGAGAGCAGCTCTGTTATCCTCCTGGACACTTGAGAGAGCCTACAGCTAGGGAGTTGCCTGCCTCCTAGTGGCTGGCTGGGAGGCTCTTCCTACCCTCTGGATTTTGTGCAGCCATCTGGCTGGTTTAGCCACCAGGGGGCAGCACCATCCCACCAAAGCCTGGACTCGCCACTGTGTTGCAAGTTGTTTCAGTGGGTTTGTTTTGTTTTTCTCCTCTTGCTATTTTGTGTTGTTGGAGGAGGGAAGGAAATCGGGAAATACTTATGGGTGCTTTCCTCAAGGCCTGTACCTGGGCCACACACTCCTGCAGCTTAGAAGCCAACCGGCTCTGCTCCTCCCACAGGATTTTGTACAAGACGGCGCGGCGCTCGCTGTCCTTGCGCAGCAGGAAGAGGCCCAGGTCCCTGTCCTCTGGGCCCGAGGCAGCACTTTCATCTGGAACACTATGGGCAAACACATGCAACAATGTCTGCAGTCCCGGGCACCTTCCCCAGCAGAGTCCCAGGCTAGGGACCCTTGGGGAGGGCAGGTGTTAAGAGATGAATACGATGCAGTCCCCACCCTCAAGAAGCTGGCACTACAGGGGATGGTTGGAACTTGCAAGAGGAAGGTAAATCTGAAGGAAAATGCAGTGTTTTCTCTAACCCCACAGTGCCAGTGCTGGACAGGGGTAGAAATGGGCCAGTGCTGGGGGGCTGGGGTAGAAGTGGGGAAGGGAGGACAGAAGGGGCAAGAGGCAAAGAGGAGGGAGGGGCAAACAGGGTTTGAGGGGAAAGAGGGGGAGGGACAGCAAATGAATAAATTTACTGGCATGGTGGCCTGTGCCCCGTATGGATGGAGGCCCTTATCTGCCACCTGGATTCTATCTGCAAGTATTATGCCCGAGGCACACAAGTACCTCTCGCAGGTCCACAGCCCAGGGACAGGCCATACCTGAAGTGGCAACTGAGGGGTTGCTTGCCTAACCCCTCAGAGGCCGGGGCCTGGGCCTTCTCAAAGAACCCGTCAGGCTGGGCATCCGAGTCAGGGGAAGCGGAGCTGTGCTCACTGCTACTGCCGCCACTGCCCACCAGCTCCTCTGGTGCAGGCAGGTCCAAGGCCTCGGTCTGCAGCCCCTCTGTGAAGGAGAGAGGGAGGGAGGAGGTGAGCTCCAGGGAGCCAGAGCTGCTCAAACTGCACTATCCAAACAGTACCCTCCCCTATCCCGTTACAATGAAGATTCTGAGTCAGCAGGGTGCAGAGACTGCATTTCTAACAAGCCTGTGCGGAGCCCAAGCAGCTGGACAGAGGACCACGCTCTGCTCTACGAAGTGAGACACTAAGCCCTTCTGTCATGGCTTGTGACCCCAATCCACACTAGGAAAACGAAACCAAACAGCCTCCTTTTCAGGGATCAAAGTCATTGGGACTTGCTGCCCCAGAAAGGTCATTTGGCTTTGGTGATCTGCAAGACAGCCACCACAGGTAGGAGTCCTCACACACCCTTCAATCAAGGTCAGGGTCAGCAGCAGGTGCTGTGAAATCAGGCTTTGCCCCAGGAAGACAGGAGCCCTCATCCAGGCAGCCTCCCTCCTCATCACCACCTCAAAGGAAAGACTGTCTCAAGGGGGGCAGCAGCACAGTCCCCTGGAGGCTCTGTCTGCCGCTGTCAACAAGTCGAACAGACATGGGCTACCCAAAACCTGCTGCACCAATCCCTGCTGCCTGGGGCCAAAGTCTGCAGCTGCTCAGTGCAGTGGCCCGGCTCCAGCAGTCCAGGGAGGCCTCACCTGACGGCTTGAAAGCAATTAGGTTCTTCTTGACCTTGCTCCCCCGCCTTAAGAAACCCTCCTTGAGCAGGTCAGCAGCTGTGGCACGTTTGTGGGGATCAGGCTCAAAACAGGATAAAATGAAGGCTCTGGCTTCAGCTGAAAGGGCTTGTGGAATCTCCGGGTGGATCTTAAACATCCCCACCTGCATTTAAGGAAGAGGTAGCCGATCTGTCAGTGAAAACCAAAAACCCAAACTCACTGCCATCGAGTTCCTTCCAACTCATAGCAACCCGCACTGGATTTCTGATGCAGTAAATCTCTACAGAAGTAGACTGCCCCATCTTCGTTCCATGGAGCAGCTGGTGAGCTTGAACTGCCAACCTTCACAGGTAAATCCAGGTGCATGTTTTCAATACTAACCTCTACACCTACCATCTTGTTTTGGTTACCTCTGCGCTGCTCTAACAGATACCACAGATGGGATGGCTGTAACAAACAGGAATTTATTCTTACAATTTCTGGAGGCTAGAAGTCCGAGTTCAAAGTGCCAGGCTCTAGGCGCTGGGGAGAAAGCCCCTCGACCCTGGGCTTCAGCTCTGCCTCCTGTTCCTGGCCCACTGAAGCTCTGTGCCTTTCTTCATTCAGGCAGCAGCTGACTGCTGAGGCTGACAAACCCATGGTCGACAAGTGAAAAGGCACAGTCCCAATGTCACCAAACATGGCAGGCTACTAATTGAAGTCCAGAAAAAGTCCCAAGATGGGCATGGCATGGCAAGCAACGACTTGGCTACATGCAGAGTTCAAAATGTGCCAAAAAGCTAGAGACCTTCCTCAAAGTTGCTTCTTATATGCTCAAAGCAGCCCACATCCCTAAAGCAGCTATTCAGTTGCTCCAGTAGATTCTACCATAGAGTTAATTACCAATCTCACCCTGGAGAATAATAACTACATCCAGCTGCCCAGCCATTCAACCAGGCCCAGCCAAGTTGACACACAACCTTAACTACCACACACCTCGTGCAGGGCTAGTGACAGGTTGGACCTTAGTTTGGACCAATAGAATGTGGTGGAAGTGACACTAAGTTTCAGAGCCCAAGTTCTAAGAGCCCTCCTTGCTTCCACTCTAGTCCTCTTGGGACCCAGGGACCACCATACAGTGAAGAAACCCAGGATGAAAAACCACATGGAGCACAGCTCAGCCATCCCAGCTGCAACACCTGCCAGGTGGGCAAGGCCATGTCACAGCACACGCCATCCTGTGGGGTGCAGCCAAGTGAGCGAGCCCAGGAGAGACCAGCACCAGAACCAACCGGTCAACCCACACTCACTAGTGGAAGCCTCGAAGTGGTGGTTGGTTCCACACAGTAGATGACCAAGACGGGACACGGGACTCGGACCACGGCCTACTGCAGGATCCTCTAAAAGAGGGGACCCAAAGGCAGCTGTTATCTGTCCCATAATATACAGCAGCTCCAAGAGATGCCCCACTTGCCGCTCAGCCTCTGTGTATTCAGAGCTTAAACTCCCCAGCTTCAGATGGGTAGTTTGCAACACACAAACCCTTGGAGCTGGTAAAGCATAGACAAGGAACCAATCACCCAAAGCCAGAAACAGACCCGTGGGGGCACTCTGGCTGGGGGGGGGCACTGCCCTTTCTCTTCCAGCTTATCTTAGTCTGCTAGTGCTACTGTAACACAAGTTGGTGGCTTTAAAGAACGGAAATTAATTTTCTCACAGTTCTGGAGGCTACAAGTGCAAATCAGGGTCTTGGCCTTGCTGATTCCCTCCCTGGTTCGTTACCCAGGGGTCCCATGGTTCCTTGACTTGTAGACAGTCCACATGGTATCTGTCTGCCCCCTGGCCCTGTGGATGTGTGTCTTTGTGTCTAATGTGCTCTTCTGATAACTCAGAAGTAACTAGATTTAGGACCACGCTACTGGGGTATGATCTAATTAACATTAAAAAAAAAAAACCTATGTCAAAACAGGATTATACCCACCAATGTAAGGGTTAGGATTCCAACACAGATTTTGGATGGACACAATTCAGTCCCTAAAAGGGGAGACCTTCTGCTTCAGCTCCCACTTTCTGGTCCACGAATCACTGTCCTGCTAAGGCTCTCTGTCCCTATGGCCGGTAGAGGAGCAAGAATTGGGTCTGTCTCATCACTGTGACATGGGAATGCTTCCATGACAAGGCCTACCTGTTCATCTTGCAAAACTGTCCCCAGCCGGGGTGGCTCTCTCTTAAGAGTTGCTGTCCTGAACTTTGTCATCTTCCCTGTTTCTTTTGCAATGACCCAGAGATAGAGGCCACTCAGCCCACCAGGTCCACTCCCAGCTCCCTGGCCATCTCCGGTCAACTCGGCCTCCTTGTGTCCCCATTAAGGGGGATCTGGGTGCTACAGAAAGCCAACTGCAGACTTGACCAGGGAGGGCACACTTACCCTTCTAAAAGCTCAGGAATTTTGGGTTTTTAAGAACACTAAAGGCTGGATAAGGAGCTCTGGTTAAGGCTTTGGGGTACCAACCAAAAGGTCACCAGTTTGAATCCACCAGCCACTCTACAGGAGAAAAATGAGGCAGTCTGCTTCCATAAAGATTTACAGCCTTGGAAACCCTATGAGAGTCTCTGTGAGTCAAAACTGACTCGGTGGCAGTGGGTTTGGTTTTTTTAGTAAAGGCTAGAGGGATGCAAATGATCAAGATTTAAAATGCAGGGCCCATTACAAGGGGTAGCCTACTGAGAGTGGGAGGGGAGTTGGCAGTGCCCACAGGCAAAGGGGGCAGACACAAGAACCCAGTAGAAATGGGAAGCTTCTCCCATGGCCCTCAGGAAGGAAAGAGCAGGTGTGGGAAGCTCCCTGGCACCTACAAAGACACCACTTTTAAGGGTGATTTGCTGTTGCTAGAAAGGTCTCCTTGGGGATGGCAGGGAGGTTCCCCTTTTTTCTAATACTGCCCAGAGGTTTTTTGATCTTTTCCTGAAGGATTCTAGAGATCCCAGAAATGATTTCTGCAGTGTCTTTTAAGAGAATGAACAGGACATTACTTACTTAATGATGTTTCTTATTTGCAATAAAAAAAAAAAAATAGACTTTTTATGCTGTTAGAGATTGAATTGTATCCCTCCAAAAAGGTATGCTGACATCCTCACCCCTGGTAACCTGTGAACATGACTTTTTTTGAAAACAGGGTCTCTGAAGATGTTATCAGTTAACATGAGGTCACATTGGAGTAGGGTGGGTCCTCGTTCCATCTGAGTAGTGTCTTCATGAAAGAAAAGGAGGGAAGACAACCATGTGAACACGGAGACATATAGTGGAGTGATGCTGGCACAGCTAAGGAACATCTGGAGCTACCAGAAGCTGGGAGAGACAAGGAGGGATCTTCCCCTTGATCCTTCAGAGAAATGTGGCCCCGAAGACACCCTGAAGTTGGGCTTCTAGCTTCTAGAATGGTGAGACAATAAACGTCTGTTTTCTTAAGCCACTCACTTTATGGTCCTTTGTTACAGCAGCCCTAGGAAACTAATACATAAGCTATCTAAGAAAAACAACATATTTCCAAAGAACTTGTATAGCTAATGAGCTAAGAGAATGAGCTGACCAGAACCAGGAAGAGAAAAGAAGTGGAGGGAGTCTCTCATGCTCTAGGATAAAGGGACAGAACTACAGCCTTTGGTTGAGTGTGCCTGAGTGTACCCAGGAAGTCAGGAGATTAGAAAACCAAGAGCCCTGGCTCTGAGGTAACCCAGATGTTCTCCTTAGCCCCAGCTACTATTTATTCCAAGGCCTGTGACTGAAGCTACAGATGAGATTGAGACTTGCACGGCCCCGACTGGGTCTGTCATGGATAAACATCTAAGGGGGGTGGTCACTGCTGTCCTCCAGCCTTGGTGTTCAAGGTTATGTGAGGACTGCAGTTGCTAGAGACCCCTGTCAACTTGAAGTCTTGGCCTTGGAGCTGAGTGAGCAACTGGTGTGAAGGTCTGAGCATCTTCTACAGGGGCCCGAGTCCTGGGGCAGGCCAGAAGAAGAGCAGCAAAGGCAGGGACCCACAGAATATAGCACTCAGAGCGAACTGAACATCCTATACTTAGGCCTTTGAATTCTTTCTGCTGAAGAGGCCAAGCTGGAGGGGCTGACAAGAGATGTAGGCAATGAGGCTCTAAGGCAGGAGCAGGATGAGGGAGGCCACCATATTGGCAGAGAAGCCATGAAGAAGGAATTCTGGAACCACACCATATCAAGCTGCTGTGTCCTACCACAACCTCACTTTCCAGAGGAGTAGCCATTCAGCATTTGGCCTCACATCTTGCTTCCTCTGCAATGGAGGGAACAAGACTGCTCCGTGGGAAGTCAGGGCTGGAGAGCCCCTTAAATATGTCAGAACCACAAGCTGCAGACCTGACCTTGGACACAGAAGGCTGTCCTGGCATCAGCTTCCCATAAGGTCTCAAGCAAGCATGTCCATTCCAAAGTTTTAGCATGTCCATTTGTAAAATCCCCACCCATACTGGTCAATCAGAACCATGTGGGCCATAATACGTGGATCACCCTTCCTGTTAACTTGGGAGTTTTCAGAATCACAAGAGAGAGAGTACTGATAGCTCAAGTCCCAGCTCCCAAACCTGCCCTCTAAAGACTCAGACTCCACATGGTCTCTGTACCTTGCCCAGCAACCTGGAGTAGCAAACAGCTCTTACTTTGAACATTGCTGCCTGGGGTTCACCAAGCTCATGGAATGGAGGCCTGCTGGTTGCCATCTCAATGATGGTGCAGCCCAGGGACCAGATATCAGCTGGGGCACCATACCCACGAGGTCCTTTATCAATAATCTCTGGCGCCATGTACTGCAGAGTGCCTGTTTGGAGAAAGAACAAGATCACGGGCACCATATTACTTAAAAGTGAAGTGGACCATTAGTTATCAAGCGTGTTAACTTGAATGCCTTTAATCACAATGCATGGAGCCTTGCCCTATGCATAAATAACATGGTTGCATGTTTTCCTGGACAAGACATATAAAACATGCCTTCCTTTAATACTGGTCATGTTGAAAGAGGATCGCTCAAGCCCCTCAAAGGATAAATGGGCCCAATTCAACTCAATAAGCATTTAGTAGTGCCTGCCAAGTACAGGGAGACTCAAATAGAAGAAACATAATGCCTGAACTCAAGGAGCTGCCTAGTGGAAGAAACAGATGTGATGATGATGATGATGATGATGATGATGATGATGATGATGATGATGATGGAAGCAGCAATGGTAGCATGTGATGAATGCTATTAACAAGGAATAGAAGAGAGCTACGAGAACATGCATGAAAAAGTACTTGATTCTAAAGGGGAAAGTTATTGCTTATGAAGTATGGCTATGCGTCGCTTAACATCCACAACACATTCTGTGAAACAGGACGTTATATGATTTGGGCATTGTGAAAACACCCTATCACAGTCTGTTACTGCTTTTTCTTTAAGCATCTCAAACAAGCTTCGTGTCTCGGCAGTGACGTCAATGAGCCGAGAGGGATTTGCTTTTGTGTTTGGTCCTCAATCCACATCATTAGCAATTTCTCCATATCTGATATAGGTCCCTCTTGCATTAGCTTTTCAGTGGCACTGATCCTTTAACAGCTTAGAGAACCTTTTTTTTTTTTTTTTTTTGGAGGATCATAGTAATTGCCAAGAGTGGCATGCATCAATTGCAAGCAATAGTATTCCCTGATTTTCCACCTTCATGTTGTTTAATAACCTTTTGTTTTATTTCCAAAGCGATACTGCTCCTTTGTCTCTTATTGCTGCCATCAAGAGCACTGGTTTTGCTGCATTTGGGAGCCATATTTTCAAAAGAAAATTAAACAGAGATAACACTACAACATTCAAGAGACACACAGAATTGGATATTGCTGCCGATGAGTTAAAGCATGTGATACTGTGATACAAACTTTTTAGGCAGAAAGTACAATACAGTACATATATAAGCCAGTAACATAGGCTTTTATTACGACTATCAAGGCATATGTGTTATAGATTATGTATGTACTGTACCATTGTATGCCTGGCAGCACTATTGCTTTGTATATAAGAAACACAAGACACGTGTGTTGTGTGTGGGAAGCTGTTGTGTTTGCTATGGCCTGTTCTGATAGAGATTTCTTTTTTTTTTTAGGATTTGGGTGAAGATTTACAGAGTAAATTCACTTTTCATACAGCAGTTCACATATACTTTGTCTCATGTCATTGACC